TTTTTTTTTTTTTTTGACAGTTTAGTTTGCTAGCTTACGTCAGTGTGCTGCTAACTGCTAAAAAAGCTAACATGATGCTAACAGCATGTCTGAGTGATGTGTATTGTGAAATGCCACTAATCTTTATTTTTGTTTTGTGCCCTTTGTGTTTTGTGTGTCATTTTTTTATTTTTATTCCTCCTTTTTATGCTCCTCCCGCATGTCTTTGGTGTTAAACTCCCCAAAAATCCCCGACTCTGACCTGCCTGAACCTCTGAATCAATAACTCTGTCATTGATTCTTAACTGATTTCCTCTTTGACCTTTCTTTCCCCCTGAACTTGGTGATTTATAATTTTTTTTTTTTTTTTCGGGTGTTTTTTGACGTGGAATGAACTTGCTGTGCTCGTCTTTGGCACCTCTCTCACTGCACACGGTCCTGCCATCACTTCCTGTTATCACTTCCCACTTCGTGGTTGTAGCCCCGCCCTCACTGCCGTGCTCACCCCCTCCTTCCTGTCTAGACCCCTCCCTCCTCTCACAGGCCTCACCCCTACATCGTAGACATGGCGACGGAGGCATGCTCAGCCCGGGTGAGACACTTTTTTTCTGTTTACTGGTCAGTTCACACACATCTGGACTGACGGGTCCAAAGTGCTCTTCTTCACTGAATTCAGATTTACACATGAATTTCCCCACTTTAGGACAACAAAGGTTATTTCTCTTCTATTCTAATAGCCGATATCTTGAGTAGTCAACTGTTATTACTGATGTAAAAACTTGCTTGATGTTCATCTTTCCATTCCCTAATTTCACTTTTTCAGTGAATATCTCAGTAGCTTTCATAGGCGATATGCCTGCAAAGTAAAATCTCTAAGTATTTGAAACAAAATCTGATTTACCAGGGTGGTAAATCCAGTATATGCTTTGTTCACTAGAGCGTTTGAGTACCATTAAGGCGTGGCGATATGGTTGAAATACGTATCATAATCTAAGCGTTTCATACCAATCGATATTAGTAATTATTGATTGTTTTTGTTGCTGCTGTTGTTTTAAATATCCAAAATACTTCCAGACTAGTGGCGTGACCGTTCATGTTTTATCCACAGTTTCCTCTTGAGCTGTTTTGCTCATTTTCTCCCCCCTGGTTTAAAAAAAAATATTTTTAAGCAGTTATGAGTCATGGTGGGAAAACATGAAACTGCTCCCTCTTACTCAGACGTACTGTGAACACGTCCGACGGACATCAGCAGGCCACATTCTGCAGACTGCTGAGATTTCATAGTCAAGCGTACCGATTGCCTACATTTCTCTACATTCCTTAATTCCCCACAGTCTGAATGGATATTAGCGAGTTTAATAATCTAGTCGGGTTCCAATTTAACACATTAAAATGTTTGAGCTGTATGTAGTTTTTCTTGCGTTTGGAGATGTACTTAAAAATGCTTCTTTGGCTAAATTCTGGATATTATGAGTCTGCAAAAGAACGAAACTGAAATGAATCCTGTGGATCTTCTGTTCTGTGGAACTGCATTCGATTTCTCCATGTTCTGTCCCCGTCCCACCCGACGGGCTGTTTCACATTAGACGCCTCGGTGCGTGTGTACGAAGCCGTCTCTGATCAAAGAGCAGCTTTGCCACATCTGCTTTCATCTCCAGCTGTTCATGTTCTGCGGTAGCTGCTGACTAGTGGAGACATGTGGTAATTGTTAGGCCTGCTCTCTGTGTGTGTGTGTGTGTGTGTGTGTGTGTGAGTGTGTGTGTGTTAGAAACTCGTGGTCACACACATGTTGAGCTGAGACTCGGCTCATTAAGTGATGACAGTGAGAGTTTGTTCAGATGACAGAGAAGAAGAAACACAGACCTCTGTTTTTATTGCTGTAATAAAATGTTTTTTTTATTTCTTGGTGGTAAATGAGGCTACAAGGTGAAGACATCTTGTTTATTTTACTTACTTATACTGTGTTGTATGTTTTATTTAATTAAATCAAAAGCAAACTGATATTTTAGTTTGACATGAAGTTATTCAAAGGGGTAAAACGTTGCTGTAAAAGTTGAGTATTTGCAGATTTTTCTTTAGGAACGATACCCTAGTAAACAGGAAATTTGCAGACTTTTTCGTTGAGCATGTCTAGAATATTTGAAGGAAAACACAGTTTGAAAGCTGAAGTGCCTCTTTAAGACGCCATTGGCTGGTATTTGCAAAGCAGCCAATCGAGGAGCAACCTTTAAATTTCCTTGCTGCTGATTGGTTGTACTCACAAGAGCGAAAATAAGGAAGACTGTAGACGTTAGCTTCTCCTGTAGCACCAACACTGTTTTTTCTCTACCATTATAATTTTCTGGTTATTATTAATTTGTATTTTATTCATTTAAAGATTTATTTTAAAATGTCATCCTTTTCTGTTTCTTGCCATCCAGTTAATTAGTTCTCGTATGATTTTTGTCACGTCGCCATTGAGACTTGCAGCAGTGTGCCTCTTTTATCTAATGCTTATGTCTTCTCCTGACTGATACCTTTGTTCAGTGGGATCCTTTGCAACCTCTCTGCAAACTATTTTATTACAACAAAGAATCCAAATCGGCTAAATCCAGCTAAAAACATCTGAACTTCATTTCAGCCTATTCAGATTTACTGTAAGTAAAGAATTTTTGCGAGTAGTTTCCTGCAGCTTTTGAAACGATTTTTCAGGGGTTCATTTTCTATACACCACAAAAAAACTTGCATTTTTTGATTGCATAATTTTACACAGATTTTCCTTAAGCTGTTTTATGGCGATCTGTGAGCTGAAAGCTTCGTTACACCTCAGGATACGATCCTCTGTTGGCTTTAGAAACTATTTTTAAACTGACAGAACAAGATTTCATGTTTACTCTTCGTTTAGTTTTGTTTTTTATTTCCAGTACATGTCAATGCAACAGAAGGAGCTGTTTGTTTTTTTTTTAAAGCCTAAAACATAGTAGTCACACACACACACACACACACACACACACACACACACACACTGAGACATTGCAGGCCATATTAGGAAACTGTGACACTCCTTTAATCTTGTGTGTGTGTGTGTGTGTGTGTAACATCTGCACCATGAATGAGTGTTGTGTTTGTGTGTGCCTGTCTATTTTTAGCTGCTATATTTGAAGTGTTGGATAATGGTCCCGGAAGGAGCATCCTACTTCCTCTGGAACGGGGTCCCAGTGTTTCAGATGGATCACAGCCGCCTTAGAGTGACTGCTTGTGTTGTCTGTCTTTGTGAGGGCCGGTCAGAAGCTACAAGGAAAGTCAGCTGATTTGGTTCAAGTCATGAAGGGGTGAGAAGCGTTTCTGCTTGTGTCCTGCTCGAATTACATTCAGGATCCACATTAAAAACCATCTAATACTCTCATCAGAGTTGATGGCACCTTTAAGTGGCTTGTGGATAAATATGCCAACTAGTGACTTGTTGGGGAAAAACCCCAGCCGGTGTGAGCGCTAACAGGTTAGCCACATGTTGCTCTGCTGGTCCTTAAAAGGCTGTAATATGTGGCAGCAACCCTGAGCTGTGGAGATGGTTGCTCACTCTTTGTTGCTGCTTCTCTCACAAACAGGCCTGAATCTATTCTGAAATGTTCACAGGCTAGTCGGACAATAGCATTTTCTAGCTGCAGATTATGAATTCTCATCATGTACTGTTTGATCCTCAGGGATAAGTTAACAGATGATTATTTAAAAGGGCAGTATTGTGCCATTTTATAGCACAATCAATTATTACCTTGTATTCTTATCAAAATGCAGTGTATATAAAATATGACTTAAAAGGAAATTTACGTCCTGACTTAACACCTTGAAATTGGGCCTCTGTCTCTTTAAGAAACTCCGCCTTCAGGAAGTCATCACAACATGGCTCCTCTATTAACCCTTTAACAACATTTATACCAGCGTTTCACTGTTAAGTAGCTCCTATAATGAGCTCAGCAGATGTGCAGTTCCACCAGGTGTTTGCTAATTGATGCTGGCTAGTCTGAAGGAGCTGAGTGGGATGGTCACAAGGCTCCCCCACTCATGAGGGAGGGCTGCTCTGAGGGGGGAACTGGAAGCTTGGAGGAGGAGCTGCACCCTCGAGGCCGGCACTAGGTCCACCCAGGCGTTTTGCACACCTGAATGGTTGCAATGGGAGGAATGTTAATTATTAACATAAATAACTGCTTATTAATAAAGTGGCTCTGAACCGTGTTGCGTTGCTCTCTCTCTCTGATCTGTTCAGTGTAGAACTAAACCTTTCTCTCGCTCAAGTGTTTTATAATGAGCAGCTTATCTGTGTGTGTGATACGATTATGACTAACGCTCCGTACTTGCCTCCCGCCTCTGGCAGAGTGACATCATCCCGCCATCATCGGCGCTCCTGACCTCATTAGTCCTGCATTTGGTCGTGCTAAACAGTTACTGGTCCATGTGACCGCTCTGCCATCGGATCTGCATCGAACAGACGGAAAGAGAAAGGGAGAAAGATCAGCAGAACCTGTGACCTTTAGCCCAGGTGGCGCTTTCTCCTACCAGACACACACACACACACACACACACACACACACTCTTCTCTTAATGCCGGTTGGGCTGCATTGTGCAGATCTTATCTGTCTGCTGATGTGTGAAGGCAGAGAACATGAAGGAAAGTTCAGACTTGCATCCGTTTGACCTGGAAGCACACACACCTTTCTCCAAGCGTTTTCTGTGTCTCCTGTCGTTCACAGCAAGCTTTTTAAAATTCACAGTGAAACATAAACCACAGTAATACACACATTTCAGCTGACGGGGGCTGAATGAAGGCAGGTCAGCAGATTCCCAGAATGCTGTGCAGCAGCAGTAGCAGCAGCACTGAGGGGAGAAGCAGCATGTAGCAACAAGAGAGAGCTGATGTCATCCACTCACAATGTTTTTTTTTAGTAACTATTGTTACACACACTATTGCAGAGTGTTTTTAACTCCAGTGGTTTTTACTGTAAGAGCTTATCTGGAGCCAATCAGAGAGTTTCCTGATGCTCTTCCTACTGAAAGCAGGATCAGAGGAAAGTGAAGTTTCATCTTGTTTTGGATGTAAAACCTCACTGGAACTTTTTTCCAAAAGTATGATTTTGTGTCCTGGACGTCCCATGATGCACTGCAAGGATACCAGGAGGTCATTTTATGCTCCCCACTCTGAGGATATGTTTTTAATCTCAAACTTTTTCCTTTTGCTTTAAAAACATTTCCAGTCAAAGACATGGTACTAGTTTGTTTATTTTATTTTTTAGATGATTTATTACATGTTAATAATGGGCGTTATTTAAAAACTCGGCTCCACATCCTGCATCCTCCTGCCCTGCAGTAAACCTGCAGCTCCCTCCTGTGGCCGTTCAGGGAACCTGCACGCATTTAGTCTTCCTTCAGTTTCAGCAGTGAAGCATCGTGATTTCAGCGTGTAGAAAATGGGACAGCGAGAAGGTGGATCGTTCCAAGTGTGTGTGGGTGTTTCATGTGTGTGTTTTGATTCAGCATCTGTGAAAAGGCCGAGTATGTTTCACGCTCTCATCCCGCCTACACTCAGCTCAGGAACGCTCCCGCCGTTCAAGTCCCCATTTATCCTTGTTAACCTGAATTCAGTCACAGTCTGGATCTTTGATCGTTTTAAGTCGTTGCATTGATCATATATTGGATTTTATTTATTTATTTTTAAGCAAGAATTTGGGGGGGAAAAATGTCGAAGAGCTCAGCTCAGTTAGAGGATTTATTTTTGTTTGTTTGTAGTAAATAAATATAAAAAAAACCGCCTTCAGTTAGGCTAAAACCAGCCGGCCTTTCTAATCAGGAAGCCATATTTGTGTTTGTTCTGTGACGAAAACGTGCAGCAGGTGATTCTGAGAAACATTCCCAGTCACATGACCACTCTGCTCTCAAAGTCCAAGCTGACGGCGCTCCAAGCTCCGACTGCATGGCTGCATGTGAATGCAATGCTTATATAAGCGCTCTGCATGCTTTATGACCGGCAGCCATCTTTAATTGTCAGTGGGACTTCTGGGAGGAAGTGAGATCATGTGTGTGAGAGAGACCACGTTGCTGTGGTGTGTGCATGCAGCCGCTCTGAAAGCGTCTCAGTGATGCAGGTCAAGATTAGGTTTATTTTTATTGAGTGTTTTAACGCCTCTCGTTGTTGAAAACATTTCGAAAGCTTCATATGAAATGAATCAACCTGAATGTGACTCAAACTGCTTGAAGGACGCTGATGAAGTTTACAGCATTTGAGTCGTTCATAGGATCCGACATGAAAAGCTTAGTTCAGGTGAATAATGAGGAAGTGACTCCACTCAGTGACGGGCAGCAGCTCAGAGCTTCAGGTCAGAATATTTGATGAACCAGCAGAGAAACATGGAGACTTGCTGTAATGATCTTCATCATTGTGCTTTAAAAAATTTCTGTCGTCTTCCGTTTCTTCTTTGTTTCTTTTCTTCCTTGTGTTTTTTATTTTATCCCTACTTGAATCCATTTTTCTTTATTTCCTTGTGTGCATCCTCCCTTCATTCTTTCTTTCATTGCATCATTTCTCTCTTTTCCATTTTATCCTTCTATCCTCTCTACTTTGCATCCTTCCTTTTGTCATTCCTCCCTTCATTACAGCTTTACTTATATTCTTTTCTTCCTTGTGTCCTTCCTCCCTTTCTTTTTTGTATCTCTCTTCTCTTCCCTTTTTCCATGTGTCCTTCCTTGTGTCTTCACTTGTGTTCAAGGATTCAATGATTTTTTTTATGGTCATACCAGCTTTGCTTGTCTGTGATACAAAATTCAGACTCCCAGGTCCATTCTTCCTTGTATCCTTTCTCGCTTTCTTTCTTCTTTCCTTGTTTCCTTGTGCCTTCCCTTCCTTCCTTCCTACTGCTCCTTCCCCCTGAGTCGTGGTTCTGCAATCTCTTCCAGTGTTCAGCAAACCGCAGCAGCTCATCCAACTCCACTTTTAGACCGCAGCATTAATCAACATGGATATTTCCATCTCAGCATTGTGTCCCTTTAGCCCAGCACCATGTGAGCAGCCTGTTTACTCTCTGTGTCCGCTGTCCTGCATGTTGTTGCTGCAGTGTTCCTGCGGAGCCACAAGAGCATGGAGTCCGTGGACCCCCAGTTCACCATGAGGAGGAAGATGGAGCAGCTGAGGGAGGAGCTGGAGCTCATGGAGCAGCTGAGAGACGTGAGACAACTCTAAGCTAACCTCAGTGGGACGAACCGCTGCATTCACATAGCAAAAGGACATGCAGAGGACAAAAGGCTACATTTGTTAGCCCACATGACAGGAGCGCCGTTTCTATTACAAACGTGTGCTAAACTTTGTCAATATTCCTGGTAATTTAAAAAAACAACACACACACACACACACACAACTTCCCAATTGAGGTGTTTCCTTTAAAGAATAATCTCAATTAAAACCACATGTGAATCAGTTTGTCATGTTTCCATCCTCTGAAGGTTGGCTGGAAATGGCCCCCAGGCTGCACTTTTGGCACCCCTGACTTGTTTGTGAAATTAGACTGACCTTAAAAAAAATAGTAGTGAAGCAGCTCTTGAATGTTATAAAACTGTTGCAAATATCTAGAAATGTAGGTCTGGAAAGGACTGAAACGTCGAAATAAGCAAACGTGTATGAACTTTGACCTTTCCCAGCTCTATCCTTCCAACCTGCCTCCTCCTTCCTCCTCAGATCATCGAGAGCCGACTGAAGGTCGTCCTCCCTGAAGACCTGGGCTCGTCTCTGATGGATGGCGTCGTCCTCTGCCACCTGGCCAATCACATTCGCCCGCGCTCCGTCGCCAGCATCCATGTCCCCTCGCCCGCCGTGGTACGTATTACACCGCGGGGGAGTTTAAATCTGTCGGCCGCCAACATACGGCGGCGTCTCACCCGGATTGTTGTCGCTTGTCGTTCCAGCCCAAGCTCAGCATGGCCAAGTGCCGGCGGAACGTGGAGAACTTCCTGGACGCCTGCAGGAAAATAGGCGTGCCGCAGGTAAGACGGGCTTTTCTGTGAAGAGGTTCTCTGTGAGCTGGGGACGGATTTCATGTTTCCATCCAAAACGTTGTGAAGGGAAGGTATGCTGCTTAGAGATGCACCGATCCCAGATTAATATCTGAAACATTTCTGGATCAAGTATTAAATTTTGTAGGTTTGTTGCGGTTTATTTTTCCATGTTTGACCAAAGCAGTCAACCTATTGCTTTTGTCAGTTTCAGTTTCTTGATTATTATTTATTTTAAATTGGCTTTTATACTCATAATTGCACAGACTGAACAAATTAAAGTTGGTTCTCTGTTTGACCAGGCTTCTGAAGCCAGTGGTGTGTTGAAGTATGCTGGACTGGTGCAGAGTTATCAAATACATTTGTAATCCAGTACATTTATGTCCATGCTTTTTAAAAAAAAGAAACTTTTTAAGTCAATTCAAAACCTCAGGTATTGGTATCAGAAATGAAAAAAGTGGATCGGTGCATCGCTAATTCTGTTAGTTTGGAGCAGGACATGAAAACATCCTCAGTTCAACAGACTAACTCCCTAAGACAACTTGTTTTATTGAGATATAAAATAAAACATAAAGGTGTCCTGCAAAAGAGATCTTGCTTGAAAGAAAAGTAACAGTTACATTTTCCATTTAAAATGCAACACATTTGATAGATTTATCATCCAAATGAGGAGTTTTGCAGGATACTGAACCAGAAGTGGGAGGAAGGCTGATGGTTCCTCGTATGTAAAAGCAGCATTTCCTCTCCTGCAATAAAAACTCACACGATTTGTGCAACAAAGCCGATGATTTTCTCCAGAATACATGTTTCTGTAACGATATAAAAACCTGGGAACCCACTCAGCCGTCTCTCAGCTCTGGTTCCTCCCCACCCTCTCCCATTTTCCTCCTCTTTGTCCCGATCGCTTCAAATCAAGTCATTTAACATCAACATGTGACGCTGACATCATCACCGCTGTCATCACTGCCTTCAGCTTCTAGCTTCCTCCATCTTGACGGGATTTGACCCAAACTGTAGTCAACCTGCTGACTGTGATATTTGGTTCGGCTTTACTGTCTCGGTGTAAATGTCTGTGTGTGTGTGGGTGTGATTACACTAGCTGCATTCCCATTGATGTTACAATTGTGCCAATCGGAATTATGAAAATAAACATGCATAATAGAAACACGCCACTTTTGAAAAAGTTTTTTTTTTTAATGGAAAGTTTTGGCGCTAGGCTAAGATGGGGTTTTTTCAGCTGTATCAAAATTAGCATATTTCACAAAAACTGCAATTTTTCCGCATCACACATTCATGTTCTCAACAACCAAATGTTACTACTGGCAGAAACGACAAAGAATACGACAGGAAGTGGTGGGAGGAAGATGTTTTTAGTGACATATCGCGTGAACAAACTTATTCATGTTTGATTTTGATTGCGTTTATTTAATGGAAACGCTGCATTTGCATTTTTTATTTTTCCCCATCATTAGTGGTAATATTGACAAAGATTTGTGCAAATGTGTAATGGAAATGCAGCTACTAACACAAACACACTTCCTGCAGTATGAAGGAATCCTATTCATACTCTCTGATGTGCAACAAGTCTTAAAGGAGTAGTTCGACATTTTTTGAGATGAACTTGAATCCAGCAGCTAGCAGTTAGCTTAGCTTGGTTTAAAGACAGGAAACGAAGATAGTTAAAGGGATAAACCGTCATTCCATGTGTTTTAATTCATAGACTAGGCTGACCACAACCTTAAAGAAACAGGTGCAATTTAATATTTAAAAATACTTTATTTACCCCAAAAGTGAAATTAAATGCTGAAACTCATATTGTCCGAGTGTCTTCAAAGATCATTGTGGATTATGAAGGATGTCCACCTGACTCTTCCGTCAGGTCAATTTCCTGACGGAAGAGATTAGACTTCACAGTGACATTTCCTGGTTGACATCATCAGTTGTTAGCTTGCTCTGCTAATCCAGCTCATTTGCTTTTGCCGCTTCTCTTTAAACCTCTGCCTGGCTGTATAGTTAGGCCAGGCAGAGAGATGTTGGAGTTGGGGATATGATCCTTGCCCGTTATGATTGACGGAAGCCATGGTGTGACTGTTTGGGGTCATAGGTCAGGTATTATTTGAGTTTTTGAGACGCTAATTAGCATGAATTTATTGACGATGCAGAGGGGAAAAGTTTGTGTTTCAGGTTTCCCCATGAAGAAACCTCATAGAGTGAGATCATTTTTACATTATTAATCACCACACGGTGCATCAAATCCTAATTCTTCCCATTGGTGGCAAAACAATTTTCATATTTTGTTCAAAATCTCCTGGAAGTATCGCATCGAGAAAAACTGTCCCGTTATTGAGATTTTTTTTTTTTTTTGTTCCTGCTTTCATATCGATGTGCTTATTTTATTGTCCTGTTTTTTTCTCTCTCTCTCTCTACTTAATGATTTTCTTCTGTTTGTCAGTATGTTCTACGTTTTTTCTGTAAAAAGAAAAAAAAACCCTCTGGTTGTGTCTTTTGCTGTGTGACCTCTGACCTCCGCCGCTGCTTGCTGACAGCTTGGAGCCTCTTTGCGGATGCTGCTGAATGCTTTTTACTGCCGACGCTTTACTGCGCTCCGTGCTCTGGCCTCCCATCAGCCGCCTCCCCCCCCCCTTACTGGGCTGCTTACTGGGAGCGAGAGGGCCAACCAGTCACCAGGATTACTTGAGCATCCTCTCAGTAAGCATCCCTGACGGTTGCCGTGGTAACCCCCTGCCTGCCTCTGCTCCCTGCCGGCTCAGACTTGTGACTTTTGACCTCTGCGTCCATTGGTTAATCTCCTGCCTTTTCTTTTTTTCTTTTTTTTACCTTTCGGCTGGATCACACCATCTTCCTGTCTTTCCCTCTTTATTTCTTGGCTTCTTTCTTTCCCTTTCTTTTTTCTTGTTCTCCTTTCTATTTCTTTCTTTCTCTCTCCTTTCTTTTGCTCTTTTTCTTTCTGTTTCACTTTCTTTCTTTCCTTTGTTTCGTTTTGGTTCTATTTGTTTGTGTGTGAACTCCTGTTTTCTTTCTGTCTTCATTTAACCTTTTGTCTGTTTCCCTTTTTATACTTTTTTTTTCTTCTGTCCATTTTTATATCTGCACTTCAACCCTCATCTCCTCATTTTCTTCCATCTTTACATCCAATTTTCTTTTCTTTTGTCTTTCACTCACTCACTTGCTTTGGTTTCTTCTACTGTTCATCCTGTCTTCATTCTGCCATTCCATTCCATCTTGTTTTTTTTCCCTTTCTTTCTTTTGTCTGACCCGCCTTCATTGCATTGCCTCTCTCTTCCTGTCGGGGGCGCCAGTCTTCCCTTTGTACGCCCTACGACATCACGCAGTGCCGTCTGCACCCGGTCCGCGCCACCGTTCTGGCCCTGGTCGCCTTGGACACGGCCCCTCCGGACAGGAAGCACGACAAGACAATCCCAGCCAGAAGCCCCGCCCCCTGCAGGGCCTCAGAGACTCGCTCATTGGTCTCCGTCACCACCCAAACCCCGCCTCCCGCTTGGCAGATCTGGGATGTGATTGGCTCCAGCTTGGTTCACGTCCTCTGCTTGGTTCTCTTGTTCATAGCCTACAGTTGGATCGAGCTGACGTAGCAACGAGCTCCGCCTTCCTCCTGGCCAGGCTCCTCCCCCGGCCCCATAGGCCCCGCCCTCTTTTTGTCACCACACAAATCCGAGCCGTGAGATCATTCCCTTTGTCTTCGATGCCTTGTTGTCACGCGTCTCAGAGTTAGAGTAGGTCTGTTAACCTTTTGAGGCAGCCGCTTTGATTGTGGCATTTGACTGGAATAAACAAAGCCATCCTTCAGCAGACATGAAGAACACGGAGCAGAATGAGCCACTTCCTCTACGCTTTTCTTTTCTCTTTGCAATAAACTGGATCAGAAGCAGAACAGGACCGACTGTTGCCATAGCGCCCATCTGAAACAGTGAACCCGCCACCAAATGCACTATATTGTGTTACAATAAGCAGATTGTTTTTGAATTTGTACGCTAGTGGACCTCGTTGGTCCGTGAACGTTTCATTCAATCGTTTTGCAATTGAGAATCAAAACTTGAAAAATAATTTTAAAAAACTTTTATTCTGTTATTCATTCTCGTGGGAAATTCAAAGGACTACAACATATCGATGTTGTTTGTACTTTTGCCTTTATCCTTACATCCTAAATTAAACATTTCTAAAACGTCCCCGATACTTCATTACATTTTAAATCCTGTTCCCCTGTGAAGCTCCGCCCTCCACCCCGCCCTGGTGCCAGAAGCGATCGCTGAATTGTAGAAGCGTTTGATTTTTGATTTGAGAATGACGTAAAAAATACAAAAATATCTATATATTGTATTTTTTGAATCTCATGTGAAAATGAATAATGAAAAGGTTTTTTTTTTTATTTTTTTTTTATTTTCGACTTAAAAAATATCTACTGTAAAATCCAGCGGCCGTCATGGAGCTCAGCCAGAGACAGCTGCATTTTTCTAACAGGGTCCGTTTGTTATTTTGGCTTTAGGATCAAAGTAGATCAGTGTAATATGGTGTTTATTAAAATCTGTTGATTTTTAAAAGTAAGCACAGTGCTGTGATCCCTGGACTTGGTAGTAGTTGGCAACTTTAGGCTTTCTTTTTTTTATTTTTTATTGACATTCACAACATTACAAACCAGTCAACTATATTTTGTTACCATGAATGTATTTCAGACATTTTTTGGTTTGGTTAAATCTAGTCAGGGTACAGAGTTGACATTAAGTCTTTGAAATATTACTTCATGCAAATTTATTTTAAGTGACTACATGTTTAATTATAAATTGAGGCAGAGTTTTGACCATCGCCCAGAAGTAGGTATGAGACTCTCACAGTATAAATAATCTTAATTAAAGTATTCTACTGTTTTACAGCATGGTGTTGTTTTTGTTTTTTGTTTTTCTTTTTAAGTTCACAATAAAAATGTTAATCATGATCTGAATAAAATAGTATAGTAAATCAGATATGTAAAACAAGAAGAAGGTTCAGATTTTACTTCCTGTTTACGTGTAACTATTTGCTGCTGGTTTGAAATGAGCCTTTTTCCTCAGAATATGAGTGAAGATGTTTTTTAAAAAGCACACAATCTGTGAAAGTAGACATGCAGTTTTGAAAAGTACAGAATTTGTATGAGTAATTTTCCCAGACTGGATAAAGTATAACAAACAAAAGAGAATATTGAGAATGAAACAGTGTTGGATTTTTTTATTCCTCCATTTGTGTTCTAAAGGTCGAATTTTTAACCTTGTGCAGTAATTACACTGGTTTTGACAGTGTAATTATTATATTACTATGAGAATAGTGGAAATAATAGTTTATAATAGGAGAATAGTTTCACAAGAATAAAGTCATTATGAAAATAGTCAAATAATACTAGAATAAAGTCAGTTTTTTGACAATAATCTTTTTCTCTTATCACTCTTGTTCTCGGTTGTTGCTATGGAGGCCCAACCAGTTACTATTTTTAGAGGACAATATCTTGTAGATACATTGTAAAAAAAAAAATAATAATAATTATGATGTGATATGAAAGATTAAGTGACAAAAAAGCCAAAACATACATTTTTACAGTACTACATCAAACAGCAGACCAGACCCTGGAAACTTTCACACATTCTCCTCAAACGTTTTATATTTACTAGCGTTGTGTCTCTCTTTCTGCATCTGCTCCTGCATTTTTCCCCCTCCCTCCCTCTTTCTCGTCCCTGTCCGTCCCTCCCAGGACAAGCTGTGTCTGCCTCACCACATCCTGGAGGAGAAGGGCCTGGTGAAGGTGTGTGTCACGGTGCAGGCCCTGGTGGACGAGGCCTCCTCCAAACCCCCCCTGCTGGTGTGAGCAGCGGAGCAACGGGACCGACGCGACGCCGCTCCGCGTCACGCCACGGTTCACCTCTCCGTCGTTCGCAGTAACGCAGCACTTTGAATTCCCCCTCGTCAGCGTGCAGAAAGGGAACCAAGTCCGTCTGGAGCGGCTTTATTTACTAACTCAGAAAGAGGAACGTTGAATCGAGCGGCTTGGCTCACTGCAGGTGTTTTTTTAAAACCTGAAAATGGGGGGTTTGAGGATTTTTTTTTTTTTTTTTTTTTCACTGTGATCAGCTGAAAGGGCAGACATAGAGGCCCCACATTTTTTAAGAAAATCTTCACACTGGCTGGTCCCATTTTTTGGTAAAATATTGTGATACTGATGAAAAGGAGAAAGGAAATTCACAAAAAACAAGCAGAAATCGAGATACAGTGGACCCACACAGTGTTTGTGGATTTTACTTTGGAATGTAAATTCCAAGTTATTTGTGGGAAATTCGCCTACTAGCGCTTTTTTCGCAGAACATATCTAAACTATTAGATATTATCAAATACTGAAAAGAAAATGCAGCTTGAGAAGCTGAAATATCTCAGTGCAATGATACTTAACATGATATTGGCTGCTGTTTGCACAGCAGTGTTTCTATGAGAATTCAAATTTTAAACCAACTTTTACACCCAAATTTGCAAAACGATCACTTCATGTTTTTCAGTCCCATAACATACAACAAAAGACATTTTTCCAAGGCTGTGTTCAAGTATACTTAAGCTTAGAGATGTTTATTAGCCAGAGGGATGTTGGCCAGTAGCCAATCCAGGACAACCATCATGGATGACGTAAGAATTATGAGTCACATTAACATAATATTTGTTTGGACCCTCCCAGAATTAATAACTAAATATTACTTCCCCCAACGCTGTTTCTGTTGACCCTTTGCAAGTACGTCACCTAATCATGTAAAGCCGCCATGACAGGAGTATCGAACAGAGATTGTTTTCCCAGTTTTTTTTTTTTACTTATCTATGGCTTCCACTGGTTTAAGTCGAGATCATTTATCTGTGGAAATACACTTGGTGCTCATAGACAGCAGTATTTACAAAAGTCAGAAATAGCTAGCTTAGAATCCGACCTATACCTTTGGTTTTCTGATGTATTCGTCGATTTAATCAAATCTCAGACTTTGCTTGAATTTACATGCCAGTTTATAAACAATGGTTTGTCTTACCCCACAGAACACCTAAAAGTGTACAAAAGTCTAAATCCTTTAGACTAAAGTCCTGGACCTTAGTATATATCTTTTTCATATATGATAGGCTATATGATTTCGGGGCATTTCCTCATAGTACAGTATTAGCTGCATTTCCATTACAAATCTGTGCAAAACCTTTATTAAAAGTTTATAATGAGAACTTTTAGCACAAGTGGAAAGTGAGACTGGGGGAGGCGGAGTCTTGCTGCTGCGCCGTCACAAATCAGACACGTTAAAAAGACGCATATAAAGCCTATGGACTCCTACGGTTTAATGTATCGATACTCGCGGATGAAAAATCGATAAATATCGTAGAATTGATTTTATTATACAGCCCTACTTGCCAGTGCTAAAGGTTTTTATCAAAAAATGAAATTGCCTTATTTCTATTGGGTAAATTTATTTTCAAACTGTCAATGGAAATCCATCTACACATTACGTCTTACTACTCTCACTTCCTTAAGAGGTGTATTAACATTAATTTTCGTGCAAAAAATGTTTGCTCCAAATCTGTGAGTACATCAAGGGCTGCTGGTCCTTACGATTAGTGACTACTATCCATCGCTGTCTTCTTTCCTCGTCAAAAAGTTTCTAGACCAAAACGTTTGCTGTGGATTCAGGTCTGTTTTCAGCCGATCTTTGACATAATTACTGTGAAATCTACTAACTAAAAGCAGTATTAGGCTGCCATTGTCTGATTTTTGATCCGCTTTGCAGGAGCTAACGCGGAATTATGTTGGTTTGACTTCTGTCATGGCTGCTTTCTGAATAGCATGACGTCACGTGCAAAGGGTCCGTTGCTTCATGAAAGAATCCATTCCGCTTGGTTAATAGGAAAAATTATCATACCGCTAAAACTCCGCTCCGGGTTTTCCTATGACAATTCACCACCACATGCTCCGAGCATAAACAGAAAAGTGAAGGCTGGATGTTAGCTTCTGCGGTAAAGCTAATACGGTTTTCACTGTTCGTATTAATGCAGATGAAGGTATATTGGATATTTGAACTATTAAAACAGCCAGTGTTAATAGTTTTTGTAAATTTTTCACATATTTCAACTATTCATGGATAGCTGTGGTCTCTAAGCCCCATGAATACCAGGGTCCACTGTACTGTAATCAACTATGCTATTTTATGAGAAAAGCCATAAAAAAATGCCAAAAATGTCTTTTTTTTTTTTTTTTTTGATGACTAATTCAGAAATTGGTAGTGTTTTTATTGAGATATTTTTGAAATTGCAAATTTNTTTATTTATTTTTTTTCTTTTTCCTTGAAAAATCAACGTATTTAAAATTTCCCAACCTCTTTTCCCTCTCCAATTATTTTTTAATCCCTTCTTTTGGCTTTAAACATAAGTTGTTTTAGAAACTTTAAATTTTATTGAGCCTTTTTGGACACATTTAGACTTTTTTGGCATATTAGTCTGAATATTTTAGGCGCCTCAGTGATCCCACTGCCTATGCACATGTCATTGAAATTTTCTTTTTTTGGGACTGTGTACAGATATAATTAGTTGTTTTTCTACTGAGCTTATAGTTGAAACGTTTTTGCTCTCACTTCAGAGAATCAAACCAAAATACTAAAGTCTTATGACAGAGGGAGAAGGCTTTTTATCTACTTCTATTTAAACCTGAAGATATTTATAATATAAAGAGAAGCTGAAAAATAAAAAACAGAGGCTTGAGTTGTTGTATAGAGTCGGACAGAAATAGGCCAAAGCTATTTTTCTCTAATATATTTTGGGTATAAGTGTGTATATTTTCTAAAGTTTACCTGTGACTGTCTCTGACGCGGGTGTATATCTGTCACTGTCTCTCTGGAGGACACTAATCTGACTTTCTCGTGCGCCACTAACCGATTTATCCAGTGGAAATGGAACAGATGGACTTGTTGATGTGTTTCTGTCGATGCAGTTTGTTTAATGTGCCAAAACACACACGGCGTTAATAAGGAAAAACAGACAAAAAGTGCAACGAGACAAAATGTGGAAAAGTTCCAGCACTGTACATTTCTGTGTCTGCCCCCTAGAGGCCGCCGCCTGTCATTGATTCCTTAAAACTCGATGACTCGTGGATATCTGACATTGGGACGCAGGTAGAGGAGTGAGCTAATCATCGTGCCTCTCGTTCAGGCCTGGATTGCTGAAGTGTTTTTTTTTTTTTTAAACATTTTGAAATAATTATAATTTTGAGTTTTAAAACATCTGAGAACAAAAAGTCAGATTCTCACAGCTCTGGAGAGCAAATTTCAAGTTAATGTAGCAAAACATTCCTTTGGCCTGCTGACTGCGCTGAAGAGGCTTTCTCTCTCTCTCTCTGTGTGTGTGTGTGTGTGTGTGTGTGTGTGTGTGTGTGTGTGTGTGTGTGTGAGATTACAGACTGTGTGACTCGGGGTGGGCTTGGTTTACTGCACTGTTGATGCCTCATTACCCAGCGTGCTTCGTCAACAGTATTTTATAGTGTGTGTGTGTAGGTGTGTGTGTGTGTGTGTGTGGCCTTTGGCATCATGTTGCTCTGCAGACCTGGCACAAATGGATGCTTTAAAGGGGCAGAAAAATTATGTTGCCCTCATTGAACTCTGTAGTAAGAGAACAAGATGTTTTACCTCCTGAACTTTGAGCCACATCCTTTTGACTGGATGGAGACGAAACGCCGCTCATAGCTAATACATATAAACGCAGAAACTCTCTCAAAACATTCAGCATCGTACTTCTTACATCCAACACACCTAATGCAGATTTAATGTTATTTCTTGAGCTTTTGTTTTTTTCTCATTTGCTCAGTGCAGGCATCGTTTCAGGACAGTTTTGTGGTGGGCTTTCACATCCTATATTACTGATTAGCTTAGTTAGCATTTCTGAATCACTAGCCTAGCAAAGCGGCTTTGCTGTAATATGTTCAGTGTTCATGTAACCCATCGTCTCGCGCTCTCTTGCTAACGTTGAGTCTTTACCTAGCAACGTAAGAGTGTTGTCAGCGCAGCGTATTTTTCCCTACTCTTCAAAATAAAGTTAAAAAAAATAAAACACCCAGCCGAATGGAGGTTTAAAAGAGTAAGTTCTGGAGTGGTGGTGGTTCAGATATTTCATTTACACGGTCTGCAGTCTTAAAAATACTTAATATTCAGATTAAGGCTAACTTTTGTATTCATGTGGAAATATTCCCGTCTCAGTTTAGATTATGGTGCAGCTGTTTTCTGCTGTTTGTTCCAGAGGAAGAGCATATGGAAATGAAAGGTCGCCCTCCACAGGCAGGCAGCCGGTACTACAGAGGCATTAAAACTATTCAGTTAGTAGAAACCTAACATCAGTTAAAAACTAGAGCTTCCCCTTTACAGCATCCACCAGAACATGGTCTACTTTATGTTTCCAGTTTGTCTGGAGAGCCAGAAAGAAACTTTAACATTCTTGAACTGCAGTGTTGTTGTTTTTTTTTTCATCTTGGTTTCCAAAGCTTTAGCCACTTCCAGATTCAGCAGTAAAATAAGGAATTTTAATTTAGAAACTAGACAAAAAAAGCTTCCACTGGATGGATTTAATAGTTGCCAAAATAAACATCCTCTATCATGTTAAATGTTTTTTTTTTACTATTATTATTGTAGATTAACCTGTACATATTATTTATCACCATGTGCAGAGTTTAGACTTTACGTACTGTATGTTCCACCTGAACAAGGCTGGGGGGTTTTTGTTGTATGAAAATGATCATTTTTTGCGTATTTCAACACTACGGGCAGCTCGGCTGAACAGAAATCAGTATATTCCCATAAATCTGAGAGCTACCAATCGTGTTTCAAACTTCTGATATTTAACATTCCTGGTGTCGAAACGACTCATTTCGCCCAAACGGATCATGGCGATGTCATGGCGATGTCATGACACCGCTGTGGGAGAAAGGAACATGAAGTCCAGGGTGATAATAAGGGATCTGATCGTTAAAAGTCTTCGTTTTGGGTCTTCCACGATTCGGTGCACGTCAAGTCTCAGCATTTCAGGGGGCAGAGGAAGGAAAAAAAAGCAATAAAACCAAACCGACTGCTTCCCCGAGGGTTTCTGCACTTTAAAGTTGTGTGTTTATAAGTCTTCGTTTTTGGCCACTGAGAAAAATCTGGGTTGAGTTTAGGTTAGAATAGTGATGCCAGTGAACACGATGTGTGTGTGCCTGCTGAACGTTGAGCGGTTTTTTTTTTTTGTTTTGTTTTTTTTAAAACGTCTCTTCTTTTTGTATTAATGCTCACAGTTTTTGTACTTTTCTGACAGGGAGCAAATGTACTATTTTTTTGTGACTTCTCTTCAGGTTTGCTGAACTTTCGATGTAAACGTGCCCTTTTGTAACAGTTTGTGAACTTTTGTCAAATGTACAGCGTGCATGAAATGTCCCTGTAACGTCGCCTTAACTGCTGTGAATACTGTATATACTGTACTGTATTTCTCATCACTTTATCAGTAAAGACCTCACATGTCAAAACAAAACACATCTTTTATGAACTGGCTGCACTTTGCAAACTGTCGGAAACACACGATACAAATGCCGGATGAATTGGGAAGCGATTCGTCCGTTAAGTCAAGACTTGAAAGGTTTGAAGTGGGAAGGAATTTGCTTTCATCAATTTCCAGACATGGTTAAATAAGAGAAAAACAAATTATCAAATGTTTGAGTTTTTGATGTTATTCCATTTCTTGGCCAATAAGAAACTCAATTTCTAAAAAAAAAAAAAGTTGCTTTTTAGGATTTGATATTAAAATTGCATCGTTTAGGTCAGATTTGTCACACCACGACTTGATGTTTTTCCTATCCCTTTTCAGTTTTGAGTTTCTGATTGAGTTGTGTTGACAACAATAAGCCTGGGCTTCAGCCTGTTCCTTTCTTATGGTAAATAACTGGTTTGTAAAATAGCATTTTATTTTGTTTCATTTAAAAGTCTAAAAATGTCTATTTTACTTTTTTTTTGTGTACCTCTAGGTCACTTTAGAGTATGGATTGCTCAAATGCTGAATAAAACTAGGAAGCTGCATTTATACTAAAATGGAACTGATTCAAGTCAGTTCACATAGCAGAAAAGAAGTGAAATATCCCTTTATCGTATTGCTGAATAGGAAGTTCACTTCAGAGTTTGAGGTTTCTGGAACATGGAAAAAAATAAAACCTGTTTACTGGTTGAGTGTCTTCCTGAGTTGACATATAAAATATTTTTTTCCAGGGATCGTAGTCCTTTAGGTTAATTTCAAAATCTACAATAGTAAAGACATATTCATGAAATCATATTTTATGACAACTGATGGACGGCAGAAGGAAAAACGAAAAGAACACTCGAAGGAGAAAAATGAAGGACTTGGTAAATAAAGAAAAGGAGAAAGAAGGAAGGATATAAGTAACTATGAGGATGAAATGAAAGATGAACTCTTAAGAGAAATTTAATATTTAGAAAATGTGATGAGGGTTGGGGAATACATTGTTTTTCCATATGTAGCCAGACCTGGAAAATATTGAAGCCAAGTTCCAGATTATATGGGAATCCTGATTTCCCAAGTAAATATTTTGTACTCAAATTTCTTAAATATTCTAAAAACTTTAGAAGTATGAAGAAATTTGGGTCTAAAACAGAATATTTATATTCTTCAATTTACAGTGCAAAAACAAATTATACCAAATATTTTTGTCCAATTTTTAGTGCAAATATCTTACACTTGGGGAAAAAATAAGACAAACTTGTGATTTTTCAGACAGATACAGGAGCTTGTTTTAAGTTATTAAAGGGGAAGGGCTTTTGGTTAGGGAAAAACATAACATGTAAGGTTAAAAAAAGATTTTTAGATAATGCTGCCTATTTAGTATTGGCAAAAATAAGTAGTAGTTTCACTGGCAGATTTAATTTATAACAGTTTCAAATATTTCTATTCTTTTTCTTCTTTTATTGTAGCACATGTGTAAAAAGGGTGAAATGTCGACCCTTAGCTGGAGGTGTTTTCGTTACTAATGGATCAAAGCTGTTGGAGACAAAAAAAAAAAGATCTTAAAAGCAAAAGAGTAATGAGAGTTTTTATTCCAAAGAATTCCCATTAGACACTTTCTGCTCTAATGAAACAAGAGCGGACATTATTATCCAGGACATTATTGCAGTGGGGCGTTGAGTCAGAGCAGCAGGTCACAGTGAACCGATGGCGGCGGCTCAGGCGTTCAGGTACTTGGCGTGATGCTTGATGTGGTCGTTTATAAACGAGTAGATGAAGAAGTAGCTGTGGTCATAGCCCTGCAGGAGAATGAATTAATTAATAAAACACTTTATGACGCAAGAAATCATTTTATACAAATATGCTCATTGATTAGAGGACAGCATGCGTTTTGTGTCATGTGACAGGACTTCACTAATAGGGGAAGAAAATCATGGCTTAAACAAATCCATGTGGACGCCTGCTTGTAGTTTGCTGCCAGTCCTGAAGGAGGCGCAGCAAACATGGAGCAATATCATCGACCTGCATGGAAAATCTGATCCTGAACATCATGGTGGGGATGTTGCCATGTTTTTTGTGATCATTGCAGCTTAAATATGCTGATTTGTGGCACCTTTTTAAATGTACTCATATTTTAAGCTCTATTTTTGACACAACCTGACCTGCTCTAATGTCTCCTACCTGTTTGTTCTTCCTGCTGTGACAAAAATTTATTTTAAATATGTGGAAAGCAACAGTAAGGATTGGGTTTATTCCTGGCATCAACAAGTATTCTTGTTGATATACTAACATAGATCAACTAATCATCATCTAGCTAACATGATCTGCAATGTTAGTGTTAAGCATCATAGGTTTTTGTTTTGTAGCTTTGGCTTCAGGAGACATTGGGAAACAGGAAGTTAAATTAGAAGAGGGCTTAGCGGATGAGTCAACATTCAGCAGAGTTGCAGTGATTGGTCAGAAAAAAAAGAAAGCAGGAAACATGAAGGTGATTGGTCAGATTTGTAGAAGAGTTGCAATGATTGGGTGAAAATGGCAAAGTATGTGCAAAATTTGCGAATGACTGAATTTAGCTTAAAAGCTGTAATTGAGACGTCTCCACCTGCTAGCCACTGGTGGAGGCTGCAGCATTATGTTGTTGAGATTTAGATCAAAATTTAATTGGAAATCAGAGAATTTGAGGCGTTGGGGACGAACCGGCTGCAGTCTGAAGACGACGGGGATTTTCTTCTCTGAGCAGACGGCGATCAGGTTGTCAGGCAGCAGCTGGCTGGCGGACAGGAACTGATCGTCTCGACCCTGGTCGATGAGGATGTCAAGCTGAGGGCCGGAGTAGGAAGCTGCCAACACGGTGGCGTCATACGCCTGGAAAACAAACGCAGCGTTGTAGAAAAAGTGCATTTCTCCCTTGAAACGTGCTTTTATTTTGTAGCAGAAGGCCGAAGGGCTCCCACCTCCCAGGCGGACCGGTCGGCTCCCAGGTAACCCGTGAAGGCCTTCTGCCCCCAGGGACACTGCACGGGGTTACAGATGGGGGCGAACGCAGACACGGCCTGCAAGGGAAACGTCAGCAGGAATCAACGTCTAACAGCAAACACAATCCAACTTCCTGCCTGAGCAGAAACAGGAAGTTACCTTGTATTTGCCCGGATTCTTCAGGGCGCAGATGAGCGCCCCGTGGCCGCCCATGGAGTGCCCGCTGATGGACATCCGGTCCGGGTCGGTGGAGAAGTTTGCGTTGATGAGCTTGGGGAGCTGAAACGGGACACGGAGGTTGGTTTAGATGACAGGAAGATGAAGAGGTGAGTGTTTGGTGGCAAGGTGGTGGAAGGAATCCGGAGCACCTCCTCTGTGACGTACGAGTACATGCGATAGTTGGTTTTCCAGGGATCCTGGGTGGCGTTGACATAGAAACCAGCTCCTGTCCCAAAGTCCCAGCTCTCATCTTCACCTTCGATGTTGCAGCCACCTGAGGCAGGAACGCCGTCACTTCGTTCCACAGACTCACTTTCTGACCCACTGTGGTGTGTTTTTGAGTGTGTGTCGTCTTACGTGGGCTGGTGTCCGGCGCCACGATGATGATGCCGTGTTCGGCTGCAGCCAGCTGGCTGCCTGCTTTGGTGATGAAGTTCTGCTCGGTGCACGTCAGGCCTGCAGAGAGAAAACACATCAGTCTGGTTTCCATCACGTTCCACAATCTGGAAATACTCCAACGGTTGGTAAACGTCCAACAGTACAAACCACTGAGATGCAGAATCTTTCAAAAGTACTACGTTGATGGATGTAAGGCCAACTTGCATTTTTTTAAATGAACTGAAGACATTTTAAGGCCTTAGGTTTAGATACATGAATTTAAGACTTTCTATGGACACGTGATCACCATGTTTTGGCCTGAGACTCACCAGAAAGCCAGTAGAGTACGGGACATTTGTCTGTTTCAGCCTTGGGAGGAAGATAAATGGCAAACTTCATTTTACACTTGAGCTCAGTGCTGTGGACAGAAAACAGGCAAGAATTTAACCGACTTCAGCAAAGCTCAACTTTTTAAGGCCCATTTGAATTTCCTGTCTTGTGGTCAAAAGGTGAGGACGGCCGTTTGTCTCACCTGTCATGTTCGAACACCTTCTGGAAGCCGCCGGCACACTTGTTGGAGGACACCTGTGTGAGAGCCATGGCGGACCTGCAGACAGGGAGGTCACTCCATGTCTTTATTTATAGAACATCATATTGTCATCGTCACAAACACGTTTTCCTCATCAGTCAGCTCTAAAATGTACAAACATCAGTACCGGCCGACGTTGGTACAAGAAAAGAGCATAAACAGTGGTCTTAAAGCAGATATCCAAGATTACTTTGTGTCGTCCAGAATGGTTTTAAATTATTATTGTATTTTAGAAGTTACTGCGGGTTTCATTTAATGCAGTATGAAGCATGAACATGACTTGCCAGGTGTCACTGTAAGCCTTCGTGGAACAAATGACGAAACAAGTCACTTATTAACTTCAGAGTGACTGCTAATGCATATTTAAATATTTCCATGCTCATGCTGGTGAAGACCAGCTCCCACCTGTCTGTAACACAAGTAGGAGAATTCTCAGGAAAGTTATCGTGACCAAATTTAGCACAAACACACAGTAATATGTTGATTTGAACTGTTCCACAACCATTAATTCTAAATAAATCAGCGTGAGACAATACGCTGATTTTGTCTCACGCTGAAACAGCTTTTCTATTTTAAAAACGGACACAGAGTTCTGAGCAGCACAGGAACCAATCACTGACATGCATGTATGGTTTGCTACAAAAACAAACCATACAAAAATCTGTCACATATCACCGCTTATATAATTTCCACCGTCCCAGTCACTTTCCATTCTGTTATCCTGTGCTTAACACCAGCGCACAATAAACCAGATAAGGTTTAATCAGGGAGCGTTTTATTCAAGCCGAATTGCTCAAACTGCTGTCAAAATCTGAACGCGTTTATTATTCCCATTAATATATTTAGCACAAAGGCATAAACAGGAGAAAAGAGAAAAACTGTCCAAATTTAAACAAGAGTTTTGCTTGCGGTATGGTGGGGGGCGTGCAGGAATTAGCAAGTTAAGTTAGCACTGAGTTAACTTTACGTACCTGTAGCTGCTTTTTCTGAATGCCTGCCTGCAGCCACTGCAGTTAGACACTCGTGAAACAATAAGCTGACAAATTAAACGCATAATTTCTTTGACATACCTGAAGAAATCACTGGGTTTGCACGGAAAAGAGTGATGGCTTTGCTAACTCCACAACCAGGAGCAGCAGAGGGCGAGAGAGCGTCAATGGTTTAACGTAGTGACGTCACAGAGCCGCCCCCAAACTCAGTTTGAGACGCACTGGACGATTTTATACACCAGAGGGCGCCAAATTAGAGGGGACAAAAAAGAACATTCTGCTATTTTAATTTCCCAAAGTAGAAGTATGGACCTTCTTATAAACCTTGGAAAGAAAAAAAGGCAGGTGATCGAGAGAGTCTGTGCAGTTGTACAATACTGGACAGTATTATACTGCATATTCATGTTATTTTTTTTGTAGCATTAATATGCTACAAACTAGAAAAATACAAATAGAAACAATGAATTGAAATGGGTACACAAAATGTAAAATTTAATTTCACTAAAAATGCACAAGAAATTAAAAATATAAAAATGCATCTAAAATAATTCAATAGTGATTTGCCCTATTTTTTTTAATTAGGTGTAAAGCTGAAAAATAATAGTGCTTTAACAAAAATGCTGACTAAAAGTGCAGATGTAAGAATCTTAAATAAATATTAGGAATTTTTTATTTTAAAAAGCACTTGGAAAACTATTATTTTCTGTCCTCTTCACCTGTTTTGGTTTGTCAATTTGGTTGTAATGTGACCCAATATGAAAGTTATTAACGTTTATAAATGCTAATACAAAGCCATATTCATGTTTAAAGCAGTTTTTCCTCAGGTATGGTCACATGTTTTTACCATAGTAAAAAAAAAAATGGTCCAGAACGAAAAGCCCACTCTGCCAGCATATTCAATCACTGCACATTCAAATTAGCGTCCCCTGGTGAGATGTTGAAATTGTCGAGCCTCATTTCACTCACATCAAGCCCACATTTATTTATCTGCTCACATCTCTCTCTCTCTGTCATGTCTGTTTTCACACATCCTGCGTCTTTCCGTCATATTCATATCATCCGTTTCCTCTGCAATCTTCACCCATCGATGAGCGCAATTTGGATTGTAAACGACTTATTAAACCACATGGCGGCAGCGCGGCGGTGTGCTCTCGTCCTGCAGCTGCTTCCTAAATTAGACCGTTTCAAATCGCCTCCCGTGTCCGCCCACTGCCCTCATAAAACAGATTAAATTCACTCAGCATCCTCACATAAACTCCTTCGTCTCAACATCATTATGGTCCCGCCTTCAGCCATGTGAGCTGGAGGACTGCATTTAAAGCTGAATTTGTCACACAAGCTTTTTTTTTTCTTTGTGGTCTGTTCCCCATTGTATCCACCAGATGGCAGCAGCCGATTTAGTTTTCCTTTTTAAAACAAGAGCACAATTTTAACATATAGAAATGAATACACTCACTGTGTTTGGTTCTGCTGGGCCCTGAATGAAAGTGTGATAGGTGTCGATGTTAATGTGTGAGTGGAAGTGTGAGTTTTGTGTTTCCGCCCCAGTGTCAAAGATCAGCTCAAATCCCATTCACCGACACCGACTCGTGCTCTCAGATTCCTGCACGTTTTGCCTAGTGTCTCACGGGGACCAATCTTCTTTTCCTCATTTTCTCTCCCAGCCACAAACAGGTGGAGGTACACAATAAATATAGCTTTACCAATGGTGGCTCCTTATCACAATCGATCGAGATGGCCCGAGTTTTCTCTGCCGACAGCGCCTTGAAATCGATTTGGGAACAGAGTGAAGTTTATAGAGATTACGCCGAGAAAGGAGTTCAAAAATGAAATTTCAAAGTCTGACAATGAATTTGAAGAAAATGATGAGACTGGAGGGGGGGAGGATTATGGAGGACATGCAGAAAGACTCATGTTTACAATTCAAAATCTGCAGGCCTAGAATGACAGGGATAGTCAGTGTGTTCATCTTGTGTAGACTGACATACATTGGTTAAACTTTTAATAAAATCCAAATTAAGAAAAGTATATTATGAAGAATTTTGCTTCAATTGTAAATGTATTTTTTTTCCAATCATATCTTTATGAATATAGATATGTTGGATTTGTATTACATTTAATTAAGAACCAGGGTGGACTTCAATCATTAAGTGTGACCTAAGAACGGGTGAATATTAAGCATACATGTTTTTATCTCTGATAGTTGGAATCAAATAAGCATCCGTTGAACATTTTACAGTAAAAATTGATTACGCTGAATTAAAAACCAAAAATAAAAATGCTGTGGATGCCGTCTATTTGCGGTTCAGTATTTTTGTTTTTTGTGGAACATGACTCCAAGTCATTCTGATTATTTCATAGAATGCATCTAAAATATTTAAAACAAAATGCAGTTCAGGAAGCTGAAACAGACAAAACTAATGCCAGACGATACGGTATTGGCTGCCATTTGTAAAACAGCCAATCCTGGAGCGCCATTTTCTTTCCTGGCCTCTGATTGGCTGTTCTCCCAAGAATGGAAATAAGGAAGGACTGTAGATATTAGTTCATCTGGTAGTTCTTAGATGGTTTCCACTGTGCATCAGTGCATGCTAATGTACATTTGGGTTTGAATAATTAAAATAGGCAGCTATGAGCGTTTTAAGAGAAGTCCCAAGTACATAAATATTCAAATGCCACCGTATTGCACTACTGTTTTATGAGCCACCATGCAATTATTCTAAAGTTGTTATAAACTCTATGACTTGCTGTTGGGCCTCATCACTCCTCACTTTTTATTGCTTAATCCCACACAACCATTCTTTGACAAACGCATTTTGCATTTGAACTTCAGTCTTACGAACTGATAGCCTCTCTCATTCCCCCAGGAATCTGTCTATATCACTGTTTGTTTCTCCCCAGCTGGAAGCAGCTGCCACAACAAGCAAAGTGCACAGTCGTATCTGTGTAAAGAGCTTGCAGCACATTTTTAATTGCAAAACATGTCTTCTTCGTCTCAGCGTCTGGGTGAGATTACATTAAATAATTGGAGCGCTGCCACCCTGGTATAGCCTCCAGGGCGGCCAGTCTTCCTTACGAGGATTGATGACCGAGCAACATTGTTAGAAGAATCACCAACAGCATTTTGTGAATAAGGATGTTGTGCTTGGTCTCTTCTTCAAAGGTTTCCTTCAGTAATCCTTGGTGCAGCACTACCACTGGTGAAGTAGGAAACAGGTTTTTCAAAGGGTATAGTTCATTTGACACACTGCACTGTGAAAGCAAACTGCACCATCTGAAAATGGAACAATTTGGTCCCCAATTGAACAGAGTCTACTAAAAGTAGACTGACTGAAAATGCCCTTCGTCTTCTGCATCAACTGAACTTAGGAACTTGCTGACATTGGCCGAATGTTTTCTGCCTGGACATGATGACCTCTTCATCCTCATCAGATCTCCATTAGGGCTTCAGACCAGCTGGCTGGTGTAAGGCTGGGCGAAGACGAGGGAAATGACAGCACACCCGATAAGACTGAGAGTGGAGAAAGTCATCAATCAAAGAGGATGGATGGTTTCGGTGACATAAGAAGCTGGCCTGGGACAGGATGCATTCTGCCGCCATGTTATCACAGCCATGAAGCCTTTGAAGCGGCATGCAGAGCTAATCAGATTAGAGCAAATGGTAAATGGATTGAGAGTCCTGTCTGAGCGCTCAACTCAGCCTGCTAATGACTTGTTCCACTATGTTAATCGAATAACATGCTATGATTTTTACAAGCAGGTATCACAGGGAGACACAGGCTCAGGACTTCGCAGTCATATTTGAGTAGTTCGTCCACCCAACTCTCCTCAGAATCGAGAGAAGGTTGGCTGAATTTGTGTGCACAAACAAGGAATTTGACTTTGGTTCCACACATAAAATGACATGTAAACATATTAATTTGGTGAGAGATAAAAAGGATCTTGATTTGGAAATTACAAAAGAAGAAAATAAATCTCAGTTGATTGTTAAGAGGTCATTACTAACACATTCTGAGGGAAGAAACTGCTTCTGGTTGGGTTTTTACAAATAATGCCTTTAAGTGCCAACATGAAGGTAAAAGTTTAAACAGTTTGTCTCTAGAATCCAGGAAGTCATGACACTGAATAAAGGCAGAGTAGAAGATGATGAGCAGGGGGGGGGAAATATACTTTTGTTCTTCACAATAATTTTCTTGAGACAATCTGAAGAAAAGAAAGTTCATTTTCTCCAGATCACAAAACGCAAACATACATTTGAAGGATGGAATCAGGTTTAACACACACACACACACACACACACACACACACACACACACACACACACACACACTCGTTATTTGGAGAAGACCATTGCGAAAAATGTGGAAAGTGGGAAATTAACTTGTCTTGAGAAAACCACTGGGGAAAAAAAGTACAAGTGAAAAATGTCCGCTCTGGGCTTCCGTACATTTTGGGCTGTATGTCAGATGAGAAATCAGAACAGAAGAAACTAGCTTATATGTATCTGATATGCACCATATAAAGACTATTCAACTCAATCATGTTAACATTTGCTTCATAAATCAAGAATTTCTACCTTAGGTTGACAGCAGTGTAATTTTGGTCTACTGCTACAAGACTGAAAAATGGTTAGAAAAGAAAACAAAATTGCTCTGAAACAATTCTCATTGGAAAAGAAGTTCTCACTCCGTCTGTCTGCTAATGTCAAGGATTTATCAAGTGCAAATAGTTTTGTTGAAGTCGCATTCCGAGCATTTGTGATAAAATGAAAACACTCCTGCGAGCAGATGAACGGGATTCAGAAACGTTTAGCCTCCAGGTGTGTATTCTGGCTGTGTTGTTGCAGAAACCAGTCAAACAACAAATCTTCGTCTGACATTTTCTCTTCTCCAGTCACAAAAGAAAGAATGAAGGGCATTCTCTCTTGGCAATGTGAGTTACATATTGTGATGTTTTCCAGCACTGTGTCCTCATCTTGGTCTGTCCTTGCAGGGGAAGCATTTCTGGAAGACATGCTTATACAAGCTGCTCTCTCCAGCACCCTTACAAAAGCTGTCAATTTTAACTTCAATCTATATTTATAGTGTAGTTTCATTCTGGTCTGCTAGTCAACATTTAGACAAAAATGACATAATCCGTGGACAGAATAACACGGTTTGCCTGCAAAGTATAAAACATATAATCGATA